CCTGTCCCATCTGCTTCCTCGCAGGCTCGCTGACCCTTCCTCTCTCCCCGCAGGGCAGGAGGGGTTTCTATTTCCACTACTGGGCCTTGTTTGATGGCCACGCGGGCAGCGGTGCCGCTGTCATGGCATCCAAGCACCTCCACCTGCACATCTGTGAGCAGCTCCGGGACCTTGTGGACATCCTGCAGGACCCCTCCCCACCCCCTCTCTGCCTCCCGCCCGACGCAGGGGCCAGCCCCACGGAGCCCAGCCGGGTGTCCCTTGCGGAGGACAACGGGGAGGTCCCCAATGATGCTGTGCCACGGTTTCACCTGGAGAAAGCGGTCTCTCACGAGAGCCTGGTGATCGGTGCCATCGAGAACGCCTTCAAGCACATGGTGAGCGAGCCCCTGCCTGCAGGACACCCCGGGCATCCCCCCGGGAGCATTTCCCTGTGCTGTCTGTGTCTGCCTTGGCCTGTCCCCTCCAGCAGAAGGCAGCTCTGCAGCAAGAGTGGGATGCAGTGACAGCTTTTAACAGGGTGATCTCGCAGAGGGCACTGCGATGCTCTCCTGTATTTCGAGCGTTCAGGACACAGAGGCTTTGGGCTCTGGCCCTGTGGGGGTGCAGGGGGCTTCACTGTGCGTTGTTCCAGCACTCCCAGCTGCTCCCCTACTGTCTTACTCTTTCCTGCCCACTCCACTGCCCGCGTGAAACCACATCTCTAGCTACCCTGTGGGACCCCTGTCCCCCCACCCTGCAGCCGTGGGGCCCCCTGCCCGCCCTGTCCAGAGCCACTCTGTCTCCCCAGGACGAGCAGATCGAGCGGGAGCGAACGTCCCGGCGCCTCTCCGGGGGCTGCTGTGCCCTGGCTGCCGTCTACCTCCTGGGCAAGTTCTATGTGGCCAACGCCGGCGACAGCAGGTATGGCCCTGGGGGCAGCCCCCGCCTTTTGCCCAGCAATGGGGAGCGCCCCGGGGGAGGCGGGTGGTGCGGGGGAGCGCCCCGGGAGAGCCGGGTGGTACAGGAGGCACGGCTGGTGGGGAGAACCCGGCTCCGTCTGTGACACTGGGCTGTCCCGGGGACACTGTGCCGTCCCGGGGACACTGTGCCCTGCAGCAATCTCTGTGTTTGCCCGGTGCACAGAGGGGGATGCAGAATCACCTCCCGAAATCTGGGTCTCACTCCCTTCCCAGCAGCATCCTGTCTGCTCCCAGACGGCTCTGGATCACACCCCAGCCCCTGCTGCCAGCACTGCGCTGTGAGCTGGGGAGTGAAAACTGCCCTCAGCAAAGCTTTCAGAAATGTGCAAGGAGTCATTTTAGGGCATGCTTCCTACCAGTGAACTGTTCCAGGAGATGGACACACAAATCTATGTGCAGATGAGTCCTGTGGGAGCTTGGAGCCTGGGGATTTTGACCGATACGGGCATTTCCTTGTGTGAGATGCTGTAATTGCGCCTGGGTGTGTTCATACCCCCCAGCAGCGGCAGGAAGGCGAGTCCAGCTTAGCTGAGAGTGAAGCTGGTTTGAATTGTCCTGTGTTGACTGCAGGGTGAGCTCGTCCCCAGCAGGGTCAGGCCAGCAAGTACAGGATCTGCAAATAGTCTGAGACTGGAGGATGTGCTTCCAGCTCTGGGATGGAGGAGGAGGAGATCCTTTGTGCCTCCGCTTTGGGTGCAGGGGCACTCCATGGCAGCAGCCAGAGTGCAGCAGAGATCCCCGATCCCCCCGTGACATCCAGAAACATCTCATTATCAGACTTTTATTTTTCCAATGCATCACACAGTCAGACCAGCCCCAGCAGCGAGCCACAGTGCTGGTGTGAGCCGGGCACTCGCACCCGTGTCCTGCTGCTGGGGATTCCTGCCTGTCCCGGCTGTGGGTCACCTCTGAAGGAGGGGTCGCACCTCTGTGCTGCTCCTTTTCCAACCACATCCTGTGCTTCGGTTTGCTCTGCTTCATCCCCCTCTTCCCCATGCTCCTCTTCCATTTGCTCTTCCTCCCTGCCCCTGTCCCACCCCGGGGCTGGGGGGGTTACCTGCAGCTGAGCCAGCAGCATCCT